CAAATATTTTTATTACATTAACTAAAAAAATAAAGATAACAAACTTTGTTTTTAACTTAGGAATGTTAATTCGTCACCTCCCCTATCAAAACAATTTTGTGAGAAACCAGTATAAAAATCATTATTGAGAAATAATGTTTCTTAGGACCGTTATATTTTAATAATAACAAACAAAACATCGAAAACTAATATTTTTAACTTCAAATTTCTACATGAGAGAAAAAAATTATATACCAAATACCCCTTTAGTATAAAGGTACAAGTTCTTCCCCTTGGATAAAAAAAAAAACATCTCTTTAAAGAATGAGTTTATCTCTTCAACCCTAGTCAACTAGGAGGCATGTCTACTAGTAGGAGAAACAAGTTCACACCTCTACTCAAATCTAGTATCAGGGAGGCATTGCATGGTTGTGATGGGTTACAACAATGGTGCAAAAGGTGGTGTTGCATGGTTCTGGAGGAGGAGATTAGTGGTTTGTGTGTGATTGGTGGGTGAGTGGTTCACACAATTGGTGCACTAATGTAAAAATATCATTTACTAACACTTGGTTCCAATCCCTCATGTAACAAAGTGCGTATTTTTTAGTTTTTATTATTTGTAATAACATTGTATATGTATAATAACATGGTCTACTTATCTAGCATTTTATTTATTTTTTATTTTAAAAATCACGTTTGTAACCTGGATTGGTTGACCATGTCATCGATTTTTCACGAAAATTAGCCAACTTAATTTGGTTCAACTACATCTCCCATCCAATCTCTTTTTATCTATCTTTTAAGATTTTTATGTACAAACTAATAAATGCAATAAATTTTTTTGATCTTAATATAATAGTTAAGTTTCTAATTTTACCATTTATATTTCACCTCTACAATAAATGCATATTAGTTCTTTTTTATTTTTACTTTCTTGATAAATGTATAAATTAATTAAAAATTAAATAAAAAGTAATTAATAAAGGAATAATTAATTTTATCTTAAATTAATAAATAAGATATAAATAGAAACAAATATATTCTAAATCATTTTACTGTGATTGTAATTCTGATAAATAAAAAAATATATATATCCTGAAATTCCAACAATTAAAAAATAGTAAACACCAATATTAACAGTGATACAGGTAGGAAAGTTTATTGGTGCAAATTATTGTGTCCCTGTGTATATTGAATGATAGCAGGGTAGTAAAACATGAGACTTTTGGAGTTTTTGGCATTAATTATTTGCACCCTTTACTTATTCACAAAGTTTAATCTATACCATGTCATCATGTAATAACAAACTAGAGCAATAATTAAAAATGTAATGAATGATCAAGCTTAAGTAAACGTTTTTGCGCTTCCGTAATATTATCCTTTAAATCATGGATTCATTTTGCCCAGGTTGTTACGAAAGCTCCAGATTGATTCATCATAACTTTTACCAATTCAATTCAGCGTCACCAATAAATAACCATATATTTTCCCCCGTGCTTTTCTCACCATATTCATCAATCATAATCCATACTTATAAATTGTTCAAATGCTTTAGAGTGTGCATTTTTTTAATAACTATGGATTAGTACAAAATATATATATCTAACAATTAATTTTCTTGTTCATGTATGAGAAGATGCAACACATGAGCAAGTTGCTACTACAATGGTTAATATCAGCTTTGTCATAGAAAATGACACCCCACAGAGAATGATGGAGGTTATGAGCCAATAAGATTTTGCCACGTAACGATGATGACAAAATAGGCATGTGGGTGGAGAACATCACACAGCACTGCAAACCCACATAAGCAGTGGTATCCACGATGACCTCTCATATCGTATGATCTTTCGTAATCTTTTAGTTTGGGTTAAGGAGCCACTTTCCTTGTTTTGTCTTTCACACGTTAATTAGACGCTTAAACCAGAGAATCATGATGCTTTTGATTTCTGAATGATTCCTCTCAAACTACATGTGAACAAAGTGGTTTTATTTGTCAACTTCCTTCTCCATCCCCACATGACGAAACTCAATTGTTTGCTTCCTATTTAATGTACCAAAAAATCAAATCTATATATTATTACTTCAATTTTTCTTCCAGAAACATATACTCCACTTGTATTATCTTTTTGTGTTTGGAAATCTCACTCTGGTCTCTATTAGTTGACTTTGTTTAACTTGTGGAACAAGTTAACTGCTATAAGTGCCCAACTTAATAATATCTATGTATTTTAAAAATAGCGGTCCCCAAGTGTTAATTTGATGGGATCATTTGAGGTTTAATAAGGTTTTAAAGCTCATCCTTTAGCTTGCAAGAAACATGAACCACTCTGACACCATTATAAAGTAATTACTCAAATGATGATGATAAATAGACACTTCTGTGTTATTAGTATACTTTTTAATATCTTTTTTTTTTATAAATAATTTCTAACACATTCTTTTAAATGCATTCTATTATTAATTTTTTTACACCTTGTTTATTATGTGTGAGACAGGAAGGAGCATCGTATATTAAGGGTGGACACCACCGACCCACAAGTGATCGAAACTCGCTGTAATCAAAACAAATTTCACTCTTGCGGCTGGTCCAAATGGGTTGTGGGTTATTCGGATTTTAAAAAAGTGATTAAGATTGGACAGTATCAAATGCCTCAAATAATTTTTGTCGGTACCAAAATCTGCCCAAAGTCACACTTTAGTTTAATAAAAAAAAACATATGAAATTGGAAACTATACTCTATACAACACTTGTTCATCTATAGGATTCTAGTTTTTTTTTTGTTTTTTATTTTTTATTTTTTGCGTGTTGTTTTAGTTTTACCATGAAGAGACAGTTTTGAGTTTAGTACTTTCATCTGAATCATGTAAAATAAATAACAGTAACCAGTAATATTAGAGCAAATATGAATTATGAAAGCAAGACATTTGTTCATATGTAAAAAAGTAATAGTAAAAAAATAAAATAAAAAATTATTTTAGAAAAGTTTTACTTGGTTCGATAATGACTCAGACTCAAAATACCTTCTTGCTAATTTTAACTCAAATCACTCCAATCTAAAACTCAAACGAACATGTGTGGACTTTATTTTTAAGATATTAGCTTTTAATTTATTAAACTTTTTTTTTCGAACTCGTCAATTACCCATCCTAATATTATATGAGTTAATCACTTATATATTGTTAGTATAAAATTTTTTTACACTAACAACCAATTATATCTTTTAGTTATGTTATGTCACTGTACACATTTATTCTTAACAGTGACATGATACAATTAAAATATATAATTGGTTGTCAATGTAAAAAAAACTTTACACTGACAGTGTATAAATGATTACCTCATATCATATAATCTATTTTTAGTTTAAAGAGAATGTATAATTCATTTTCACGATTATTATATTTTTAGTTTAAAGAGAATGTATAATTCATTTTCATTATACGATTATTATAGAAATAAAATTGTTTCTAATGAGGACCATATTTAAGTCAAGAATCAAATTTCAAACTTTGGTTAAAAACTTAAATAATGAATCACACTTGAAGGTAGTTAACCAACTTTAATTGGTATATATCATATAGATTATCTATCTCTTATTATTATATCATATATCACTTGTTTTTTTTTCTTTTCTCTTTTGTGACTCTAGAACCTAGATATTAATTAGTATCTGGTTTCCACTTTCCACCAATTTTTTTCCTAACTAGCCTGCAGCCTGCAGGGCACCGGAGAAATAAGTCTTGGTAGCTATAAATGGTGAAGTGGAGCCTATTATTTTCTCTCTTAACGTTTAATCTAATAATTTTTCAAGTCATATGAATAACTAATAACTAAGTGTTGTAGACATAGAACCGATGCGATGGATATAAAAATGACAAGAGTGTAGTGGTACTTTACTTTTAACATGTGGCCGTTCTCCTAATTTAATTTGTCTTTTCCAGCATCCCCTGAAATATTGAAGGTTATATATTTTGATTGGCGTATTTAAATGGAAAAGGGAGAATTGCAGAAACGACGGGGAAAGTAGAAATTGGAGAGTCGTAAAAAGAGAGGAATTTTGTTGAACCATAAACATGAGTTGTCTGTTTGGGAGCAATAGGAGAAATTAATTGTGAGTGTGATGGTGGTTTACGTCGCAATTAGCAATGGGTAGCTAGTTGTCGTGGTGCTTTAGGTTCCACAAACCACATACATACGTACATCATTATTATCTAGTTGCCTTTTGCCGATTCAACTCTCCTACCCATTGTATGCCAATCATGTGTGGCTCCTTCTTCAAATATTCATTATTCAATCATATTTATTTCAATCAATAATATATTTTAAAAAAATTACTTAATTAAAAATTATTAAATAATATAATAGTTAATAAAGGTTATAAAAGTGTACCGTGGTGGTCTCTCATTGGCCGACCCGAGGCACATCGACAAAATGCACCATGAAGGTCTCCCAAAAACCGATCAAACCGAACCTACGCAATATAGACCCAACATGCTCTTTGCACTTTAGTGCTTGAACATTATGTACCGTGGTGGTCTCCCATTGACCGACCCGAGGCACATCGACAAAATGCCGAGCCCATAATAGGGACCCAAATATGGGAAGATTCACTAGCTCACTCAGACAATCAATAAGATCCCGCAATCCGTGGGAACGGTAATAAATACCGGGAGTTACGAGTCTACAATGGGACGTGATTTATGAGATCATAAAGAGGAGTGTGCAATTCATGTCTGTAACGCTACACCATTATATATAGCAATGATTAGGTCTAAGAAAGTAGGTTACTCTCATCAAATGTTATAGGTCAAGACTACTGTCAAGTTCTTTTAGCTTGATATTGCTAAGGGTTCTTCGGCGGCAGTCTCCAATTCCGGAACAAAAAGTTAAGAGTGGAAATGGATAAAATTTAGTTGAATTAAGATAAATTGGTTATCTGATTTATTTTGGAAAGACTTTTAAAGCCAATGGATAGTATTTGGCATTTGGTAATAATTAAAGATGGTATTTGGAAAAAGAAAATCTGGGGTATACTGCGACCACAACGATCACATGGTATATATCCCACACTTTCCTTCATTTCACCCCAACTCTCTTTTTCTCTCAATTGGAAAACCAAAGAAACGATGCAGCATGAGCGAGCGGAAGGTTCTTCTCACCACAACGAGGCATCTCCATCTCCCAGCTTCAGCAGCTACTCCTCGGAGACGCTGGCGGAGATCGCCGCCAGGGTGATCGAGGAGCTCCGCCGCGACCCCCATTCGGCCGCCGACGACGAAGCGCTCTTCCCGCCATGGGAAAACGAGGAGCCGCCACAAGAAAACGAGGACTTCGAGTTCGCCTTCGTTTCCAGAGACCTGGCCTCGCCCGTATCCGCCGACGACATTTTCCTCAACGGCCAGATCAGGCCCATGTACCCAATCTTCGGCTTCCCCTCAAACGCCGCCGTTTCGGGAGTGCCCAGCGCCAGCCACAGCCCCGAGAGACAACGTCGTCTGCCTCTCAGAAAACTAATGTTCGAGGAGGGCGAAACGGCCTCCTGCTCCTCGTCAACGGACGACAGCCTTGACCTGGAGGGGGAAGCCGCCTACTGCGTCTGGACCCCCAATTCCGTTGGGAGGGAACGGAAAAAGAGCAACTCCACGGGGTCCGCTTCCAAACGCTGGAAGCTTCGAGATTTGCTTCTCAGGAGCCACAGTCAGGGCAAGAACAAACAACAACAACAACAACATCATGTGCCGTTTCAGAACGGAACGGAACACGGACGAGAACAGAACAAGAGAAACTCCTTCTTGCCTTACAGGCCCGAGTTAGTTGGACTTTTCGCTAATGTCAATGGCCTTGGTCGGAATTTGCGTCCCTTTTGATTTTTCAACCTTAATCATACATTAATTATACTTTTTATTCTTTTTTTTTTTTTTTAAAAAAATTAAATTCCATCTCCTGCTTTATTAGTTCCATTTCGTGTTTTTCTTTGCCTTACGGGTGTATTGTAATTAAAGCGGATGAGATGTATTAATTCTTCTTCTTCTTTTTTTCTGTAAATTCTGTGCAAATTTTAAGGTTTTTTTTTCACCTGTCGTTCAGATGTGAAGATTTGTTCTACTAGTGATGAGTTTTTCAAGTTTGTTGTAATATTTGACATGGTATGTTAGTGGAATTTGTATAGAGTAAGATGGCGTGAGGGTTAAGGGTTACTTTTCGGCTCCTACTCGGTGGATGCCTTTGAACTCTACAATGTATACAAGTATAAAAGGGTAAATCACTTTTGAATAGTTTAATTAAACTATAATTGCATCAAATATCGAGAGAGAGAAAAATAAATAAAAATAAAAAAGGTATGATTTAATCAAAAGAGTGTGTAGTATTATGTGACGAATAAATAAAAGGGACGATATTGTTGTGGACGGATTGCTAAAGCCTAAAGAGAACTTCACATGAGGCATATTTTTGTGGCGTCTTTTGCATGTGATAAAGGGAGATGTATTTATGGAGGTTTGGACACTTAAATGGATGTTCAACAGAGTAATAGTATTGTATGTATCTGGGGAAGTTGTAAATGGTAATGGGGCTTTATTCAGAAAAGAGTGCAAGCAATATTATTCTACCACGCTATTTTTTAATACATTTTTTCCGTTATTTTTTTTATTTATTAAATAAAATTATTGTATGAGTTTCACTTTATATTTTTCAATTAATTTTGACTAATAAAAATAAATATCTTTAAAAGAGCGTGTTATAAAATACGTTATTAACATGTTAAAAAATTCCTCATCACCATTTTGTCATGTTTGTTCAAGAAATCAGCAAATTACGTACGGTAAGTATTTTTTCATGCGATGTTTATATTGTTTATGAGTTAATCATCTATACACTATAAAAAAATTTACACTATTAACTAATTATATTCTTTAATTGTGTCATGTCATTATAAATACATTTACTTTTAATAATGATATAACACAATTAAAGAATATAATTGGTTGTCAGTGTAAAAAAACTTTACACTAGCACTGTATAAATGATTAACTCATTATTTATACGATACATATATTTTTACACACAATGTCTATACTTGTCATAGATGGTGGTTACGTAATTTCAAAGATGAATAGTTAAATGGTTATATTACTCTGAGAACTGAGATCCATGTCCATAGAGGTGAACTTGGTATATTATCGGCATTGGAGGAACTAATCAATGAAGCCATGTTATAGAATAGTTTTGTTTGTTCTTGTTGCACTACCAAAAAATTAATTGTACATCGGAATTTGAAGTTAATTTCATGTCTAGAAAGAAGTTGTATTTTATCTGATATAGATAGATATATTATTAATTATTAAGTATCTTAGCTTAGGAGGTGACTTGTGGTTCGCAGCTATGGTGACGAAATTGGGATATAGATGGATGACGCGTATGATAATGATAGTGTGTATGCGCCTCTAATCTATCTGCATTAGGCGCTGACAAACTTGTAATTTTCACACTTTCGTGTGGCTCTTAACGCGCTTTAAACTTGGATTAGAACATTATGCGACAAAGAATAGTAAAACAAGGAAAATTAAAGTAGTTTTCGTGGATAAAATGGCTTAGGAACTGGTGGAGGTATAGCTGGAAAACCATCCCTCTACACTATAATTTTCTCACCAAGTTTTAAAGGACGCAAATTTTGAATTGAAATATATTATTTAATGAACCGATTAATCTAAAGGTAAAGCCAAAATTTAATTGCACATCAATCTTTCATGGAAAACTCGTGGAAACCTTTAAAAAGGAAAAAGAAAGAAAGAGAGAGAGAGAGAGAGAGAGAGATAGAGATAAGATAATTATCCATTATTATAATTTTAATTTCTACGCCTAGAAATAACGAGTTTCAAACTCATACATCAATTAATGAAAGGGATGGTCAAAAAAAAAAAAAAAAAACAACCTTCGGATGAAAAGGTCTAAGCGACGGTTTAATAATGAGGTCTAAAAGAATAATGACATAGATAATGCTTTTTCTTCATTTGAAATGTAAAAAATTTAAAATTTTCAAAATATGTGTACATTAAATTTTTCGAACAAAAATAATACATATTAATTATTTTTTCGTGATGTTACCGTAACTTTGATAAATAAATAAAAACTCAATGAAAATAAATTCAAAAATAAAGAGGGCTTTTTTTTTTAATTATCCAAGTGACACTTAATTATAGAAATACGTTGTAATCATTTAAATGCTTTAAATAAACCTCCAAATCCGTTAATAAAAAAAAATTTGTGAATAACACAATGACTTTTAAAAAATTTCTATTTTTATTATAAATATTTTGTATTAATATTATAATTAAAAAAATATGCCCATTAAGTATTAAATACATCTATTTGTTATAATAATATCAACCAAAGTAGGAAAGTTTGTTCTTTCTTGTTGAACCACAGGAGTCTTATAAAAATGACTTTCTCTTTAGTGAGTGATTGATTCTTTGTGAATAGTGGCGAATACAGAAATTTTAAATTGTGAGAATAATATATATATATATATATTTTTCA